TAAATGAGCTCTCAAAAGCTTCAAATCATCATCAAGGTTCAAAGGAAGCTCATCAAAGGGTTGAGGGTCAAACATGGGAGGTAGCTCAAAATAAACATGAGAAGTACAATCTCCCTCTAAAAAGGCCTCACCATTCTCAATGGTGGAAAATGTAGAAGACAAAGGATCATCAAAGGTGAAAGAAGAAAGCAATGGTTTAAGATTTGAGATAGGAGTTGGAGACTCAACCTCACCAAACACTTCACTCTCATCTTCATAATCATCAAAAGTAGGCTCTACCTCCTCAACCTTATCATAAGGGACCTTTTCTTCATCAAAATCGTCTAAGCTCAAGGCCTCACCCTCAAAGCAACCATGGTTATTAATCAAAGGAGATGGGGTGGAAGAAGGTTGGTTTTTAAAATTAAGGATTGGAGGAATGAAATCACAATCAAGGGAGGTGGGTGGGAGAATCGACTCACTAATTGGTTTTTCAACACTCAAAACCTCTTGGTCCTCATCACCCTCAAACATCCAATCCCCCATGGATACTACTTCATCCTCCTCGTACTTACTCTCTTTCCTCACAACTTCTTCACGCTTCAAAAGTCGCAATGTCCCATCCTTCATAACTTGAATTACCATTTCCTCAAAATTAAGAGAAGCCAACATTTTTAGTTTCTCTTCAACTCCATCTAAAGGCTCAATGGAGCGAAATTCAAATTTGGAAGGAGGTTTAAAATGCAAACTCTCTTTAGGAACATCCATCTCTACACTCTTTTCCTCACTCATGAGCTCTTTAACATCCTCCTCACATACTTTAGAGCTCTCAAAACAATCATCATCATCGTCTTCCATACCTACCAATGTGGTAGAAATTTCATTTACATTCAATATTGATGACAATTGACTCTCAATCTCCTCATTCTTCCTAAAAACACCCTCATTACTCTCTTCCAATTTTTTCAACATTTCCATTTGGCTTCTCACAATCTCCAAATATCTCAACTCATTTGGTTCCAAATTAGAATTCATCTCCAATTTTCTCAAAGAACCACCAATTTGATTATAAGAAGACTCAAAGGTAGGATCTAAAGATTGGAAAGATGAAGAGCATTGAGAAGCATCATGGGGGAAAGAACTATGTGCAAGCATGCAAGGATCAACATTAGAGATATGAGTGGAATCATCAAATTGGGAAATGGGGGCACAAGTAGGCATGCAAGGTTCATCATTCATGAAACATGGACCATAACAATCATCAATGGAAGCATTTGAATAACCATGACCACGATCACAACTATCTCTAGCAAACCATACATAAAAGTCCCAAGCATCATCGATTGACAATGCCCAAAATCCAACATTAAACATGCTTTCAACAATGTCTCTAGTTTACTCATTCAAATTATGATAACAAATCTCGCAAGCCTCCCAAATATCACAACCATGGTAACTAATGAAGTTCTCTAGTCTATTAAAGCACACCCAAAATGGTTCATCCTCTAATTGAGGAAATGAGGTAAAAATCAAATAAAAGAAAAGTATACACAAAGACCTAGACTCAAGCAATCAAAAACACTCAAACATAGACACCGTTCCCCGGCAACGGCGCCATTTTGATGAGGGGAAAACTAGGTCGTTATCTAATCTTCCCTCGGTCAAACTAAATTTATAAACACTTAACAAACCTAAATACGAGTATAGAGGCAAGTCAAGGGTCGAACCCAAAGGAACGGTAATGTTCAAGCACTTTCAATTATGTGCCTAAGCTAGGTCAAAATCAAAGGGTAAAGGGAGAATACTAACAACTAACAAAATAAGTAACAAAGGAAATAAAACACTAGGAACGGGGATCAACAAGTAATCATGTCAATTGCAACAACTTGGGAAGAGCATGCCAATCAAAGGTTGTGAGGACTAATGATAAGAGCAATCAATAGGAATCAAAGAGCTATCTCCTAATTGTTAAGCTAGGTTTAACTAGAATAACAAACTAAGAGAATAACAATCAAAACCAATTGATAATTTCAATTCCTAAATCAATTGTTCATGTCATTAGAAATTACAATGCAATCTAGCATAATTCTCAAGGCCTAATTAAATTACACACATGAAAACCTTCACTAATCACTTTAATCTCTACAATCAATCAACACAATTCCCAAATTAATCACAATAAATCAATCATACAAGTTTCACCCAATTCCTAGCCAAACAACTATTCAAGAATCATCATCTATCAACTAAAAACTATGGAAATCAAGAATCAACAATATATCAAGAATAACTACACTAATTAAGAATCAAACATCAAAATCAATCCAAACAAACATGAAATTAAACAAAGCATTAAGGAGAGATAGAGTTAAGAATGCTCATTGATAATATAGAAGATCTCTAACACAATTGTCACCCTTGTATCTTCAATCTATCAATCACCATTGAAATCTTTCACTTTCTCTCTCTAAAACTACTCCTAATCTAGCCTAATCTAGAGAGTGAAGCTCTCAACCTAAGAGAGAAAACTATTCTAAGACTAAGAATTATGTGAATGAATGATAATAAAAACCCCCAAAAACAATCTATAAACAAAAGGAGAAAAGAAGCTTAAAATCGTAAAAAGACCCAAAAGCCCGCTCCCTCGGAGAAATCGGCCGCGCCCGCGGACACCCTTGAAGCCGCGACCGCGGCCAGCCCGCGGAGAGTTACTACCCAAAATCGGCAGAAATAGGTTGCGGCAGATTTGCAGGGCCAACTTTGGAAGGCTGTAACTCACGATCTAGGAGTTGTATGAAGGCGTGCGACCATTGTAAAGATCTTCAAGTCTAGTTTCCAACCCAACTTAAATCACCTCAATCCAATCTGTAGAACTCTAGATATGGCCGAAACAATGCACAAAGGTCCTTTTTAATACTTTGTAAGCCTTCATTTTCCTTTGTTTCTTGGATTGGCTTGACTTGCTTGCTTGGCTTCCCTAACTTGCCTCCGTTAAATTCCTTGAATGCACTTGAGATCCCTCCTTGATGATATTAAATCCCGGGAAGCTCGACACACCTACAAAACAAGTCAAACAAACAGAGAAGCGAGGGAAATAGCCGAGAAATGAATAAAATAATAAGAAAACCATTAAAATCACGAAATTCTCTAAACTAACACACAAACACACAAATCAAGCATTATTCCCTAAAAACACAATATAAACGACTAAACACGAGCATAGAAATATAAAGAAAACATAGCCTAAAGGTGCCATAAATGGCACAGATCACATGGAGCGATTAGAGAAAAACATAGCAGAAATCCTTTGCAAGCTTGAGAAGTTTTCCCTCTTGCATTCTTCAACTCCATGGAGCATTAACCTACTCATTTGCCATATGAGGGCAAGTTATGTGGTCCTAATATAGATGGATGTATCCCTTCGAAAGATAAATCAAAGTCCCTTTCACTTTCTCTTTCATACAAACCCTTCATAGTCATGACCTTTTACACAACTATTTATACTAATTTAATTACAGGTTCCTTAATCACTTGAAACGTAAAATTAGGAACAAGGCTTGAGTTGGAGGTTCCATATGCAATGCTTATCTCACTGAAGAGATAGCAAACTTATGCTTAAATTATTTTCAGGCGGAAGTTGACACAAAAACTTAGGATCTCGGTCAAAATGTGAATGTAGACGTGGAATCCACAGTGGACAACGCTGAGTTACCAGAGTTGTTCTCGGTGGATAGCGATATTTAAATGAAAAGAAACACGAGTGTGCTCATTTGTTCGTTTTACAAAATTGCGGCATTCTTGGTGAATACGAAAGGTATACGTGTTAAGGAATCAATTTTATTCATAGTTTTGAAGAATTAAAATGGTTGAATTGATAATTTCTCTGTGTCATTGACCTAATAGGAAGTTTGAGGACTACGTTCTTAGTACCCGACCTTTTTTGCGTAGAGAAGAAGTTATGGAGAAATGTGACGCTGAATTCTCTGATTGGTTTCACCATAAGGTGATAGAAATGTTCTAGCTATTCTTAAAATATGATATTTAGATCTTGCAATTCACTTTTATTAATTCTTGAAGTGTGACGTAAATAGGTGATTGAAGAGAAACCAAATTTGGATGTCTTGTAAGCATTGTGCATGCGTCCTTTCAAGCGTGTTCAAACGTGGAGGCAGTTTTTTGTTGGTTGATTTGATTTCCATACACATTCCCATGGCAAACACAAGTCTACGATGAATTATGGTGTGTGTGTTTCGTGAGGGCGGTGGAGAGTGCTTTGGCATTCTAGACAACATAATTGAACTTGTCTACACTGGTCCAAAAAAAGAGTATAAGACTATTTTGTTTAAGTGTAGTTGGATGGATTGTGGTAGGGGTATGAACATACATGAACAATATAAGCTTGTCGAAGTGAATCATACTAAGAAATACCCCAAGTATGATCCCTTCATATTATCTTATCAAGTGATCCAAGTGTACTACACATCCTACCCTAGCATAAATCGGGATCGAGTTCAATGGTGGGCTGTGTTTAAAACACAAGCAAGGTCAGTGGTTGATATTCTAGTGAACCTTGAGTTTTTGCAGGAACCGTCCCCACAAGTCCATGCAACGCTTTGTCCACCGAATGACATTCCTGACTATGACCTAGTTGAGAATGACGACGAAGATGATGATGGCGGCTTAATAATCTCAAGTGATGAAGATGATGAATCTAGCGTCAACTCTAGTGATAGTGATGAGGATGATGACATCGATGTGTGTTTTAGATGATAGTAGTGATGATACTTGTAGTGATAGTAGCGATGAAAGTCACGACTAGGAGAATGTGCTTGTTATTGTAAAATGAATAGGATAATTTGCTTGTAGTTGTGTAATTGTCTGTTGAATTTGATTATTATTGTAAAATCAATTAAAGAGTTTGTCGTTCTATTGTTAATTTTGTAACATCTCATTATACTTGTAATTTTTGTAATGTTAATAATAACAAGGCATGTTACTAACATCTTTTTCAGGTGGTAATGGCGGGAGGGAAAAAAGGAGAAACGTCGAAGAGAAAAAAGGGAAAGGAGAAAAGGCAAGTTTTGATATATGATGTGGACGAGAAAATGGAGGACGCGGAAGATTTGGGTGACAATGAAGATCCTCAAACACAGATGCAAATACAACATCATGGGCAACAAGCCTCATAGTCTTCTCAGTTGGTGGTATTAGACCTTGCCACGACCTGGTATGTATGTAGTTATGATTTCCTTCCCTTTGTATCCATATGTCCTATCATTGACCGATGTATTACTCTAACATGAACTATTTATTTACTTTTTGTTCATAATGCATGTTAAATAGGTTTGATGATAAACCTGTGGTAAAGGCCGTCTCCGGTACCTTAACAGGCTACTGTCGAAAGCCTTGGAGGAATTACGAAGAGGTTGATGAAAAAACGAATGAGCATTGGTGGAACTTGTTTTGCATATGACATTTTCTACTTAAAATTATGTATTACTAAATGTATTGATGGAGTTGTGGTTGATAACTTTAAATGTTTGTCATATGCAGAAACAATGCACATGGGCACCTAAGTTAAACGACCTTGTCAAGAGAACCTTCGAATTCAAGTTCGCATGTCGGCCGAAGGACATGTTTCACACAATCACATATAGGATGAACGGTTAGAAGCCGGACTGGCTGATCGAGGATGTCCACAAGCAGATGATGCACATTGTTGCCACTAATGATACGTACAAGAAGCGTTCCGAACAAAATAAGAAGAATAGAAGAGGCGGATCGATGGATAATGTGGTTGAACTAACCCACTACTAGGGTTCAATTTCATCTGTACATCATGCAAAAAGGATGGTGAGTTTGTTTTTTAGGCAAGTGAAATAGATAACAATTGTGGTTTACATTGAAATGACAAGTTTAATTTGTTTTGGTGCATGTACATTCAAAGGCGGCGAAAAACAAAGTCCAGTTACCAACTACACATGAGATATTCATGAAGACACACTTCAAGGAGGTCCCTGAGAAAGGAATGGTGCCTGCAAATGCAATAACGACTTTAATATAATTTAGTATCTAAACTTAGTATTTTGGCTTGAAATGGCTTTAATTTGATGATATGACCCCTTAAACTTAGAAATTAGCTTCTTTTATGTCAATTCAATTCATAATTACTAATAACTATGTAATTATGAAATGATTTGAAAACGTATGAGTTCATAAGTTAAGAAATGAAGAAAATAGGCATGTTAGAAGCCATTTTGGCTTGAAATGGGTTTATTTTGATGAAATGAACCCATAAACTTAGAAAATGACTTTTTTTAATGGAATTTCAAGTCATAATCACTTATAAGTATGTAATTATGAAATTATTTGAGAAACAATGAGTTCACAAGTTAAGAAATGAAGAAAATAGGCATGTTAGTAGCCATTTTGGCTTTAAATGGATTTATTTTGATGAAATGAACCCATAAACTTATAAAATGACTTCTTTTATGTCATTTCAAGTCATAATCTCTTATAAATATGTAATTGTGAAATGATTTGAGAAAGAATGAGTTCATAAGTTAAGAAATGAAGAAAATAGGCATGTTAGTAGCCATTTTGGCTTAAAATGACTTAATTTTGTTGAAATAAACCCATAAACTTAGAAAATGACTTCTTTTATGTCATTTCAAGTTATAATCACTTATAACTATGTAATTATGAAATGATTTGAGAAAGAATGAGTTCATAAGTTAAGAAATGAAGAAAATAGGCATGTTAGAAGCCATTTTGGCTTTATTTTGATGAAATGAACCCAAAAACTTAGAAAATGACTTCTTTTATGTCAATTCAAGTTATAATCACTTATAAATATGTAATTATGAAATTATTTGAGAAATAATGTGTTTATAAGTTAAGAAATGAAAAAAATAGGCATGTTAGAAGCCATTTTGGCTTGAAATGGCTTTATTTTGATGAAATAAACCCATAAACTTTGAAAATGACTTTTTTTTAATGGAATTTCAAGTCATAATCACTTATAAGTATGTAATTATGAAATTATTTGAGTAACAATGAGTTCATAAGTTAAGAAATGAAGAAAATAGGCATGTTAGAAGCCATTTTGGCTTGAAATGGCTTTATTTTGATGAAATGAACCCATAAACTTAGAAAATGACTTCTGTTTTTTTTTGTTATGGAATTTCAATTCATAATCACTTATAAGAATGTAGTTATGAAATTATTTGAGAAACAATAAGTTCATAAGTTAAGAAATGAATAAAATAGGCATGTTAGTAGCCATTTTGGCTTTAAATGGATTTATTTTGATGAAATGAACCCATAAACTTAGAAAATGACTTCTTTTATGTCATTTCAAGTCATAATCACTTATTACTATGTAATTTTGAAATGATTTGAGAAAGAATGAGTTAATAAGTTAAGAAATGAAGAAAATAGACATGTTAGTAGCCATTTTGGCTTTAAATGGATTTATTTTGATGAAATGAACCTGTAGGCGTCGCTCGATGTGCGCCTACGTTAAGCATGTGGTGAATATGCTTGACACTCTTAGGAACTGGGAATTGACGTATACGATTAGGGACAAATAATGTAGGGAGTCGCCAACAAGTTTTTAAGGAACATGTAAACCGTTCACGGATTATAAAAGGCAACCATGATAAAGGGACAATGATAGGCAACAACGATTGACCCGTGAAGGTTACACCCCATTTATAATTCATGAGATTACTAACTCCATATGGTTCGGAACCACGAAAGGAGGATCGGGGATGATGGTACGAAGTGAGTCATGGAGTCACATTCGCCCGTATTGGCCTCTACTCGATTCTTATAGTGAAACGTGATTCCTGCGATCTCAAAGGCATACAAACAAAATATTCAATTCGCTCCAAACTATTATTACGCTAAATTGATTTAATATTAATGCAACACATTATTCTAAAATATCGTGACCACTTGATTAAACAATAAGATTAAAAAGGAACCTAAACCGGTCATCCAAATTATGTTAATAGGCGTGATTTTCAATTACATATTCCCTTTAAACATGCAATATGGTGATCATAAAAATAATAGAATAAACATTAATATTGGAATAAATTTAACCATAATATCATTATTCAAATCAAATATAAAATGACCTAATCATGATACTAGCAACAAGAATAAAAATAAGAGTAATTAAATGATTAACTACTCACTTTCCGCATTTCCTTGAATTGCTACATCATGAATAATCCGTTAGTAACTTCAATAAAAATATAAATCAAATGAAAATTAAATTAAATAAATGTATATTTTATTTGGTCCAAACCCTCAATTAATTATACTTTCACGCCTTGGTTTAAGTATAGAACTTTGGGTATTGTATGAATTTCTAGGAGTGCTTAATTAGGGGAAGTATTTTGAGAGAATAGGGTGTCTAGTATTTAGGCTAAAAAGGGAGAAGAAAATTATTTTATGATCAAGATTGTTGATGATTGAAAAAGGGGTGATATGACCTCTATTTATAGAGAAAAAAGAGGGGTCGAAGAATTAAGATAAGATCCGAATTAAATCGGAATAAAACTTGATGGACTGCAGTTTTTGCGGTTTTAGTTTTTATCATATCTTTTAATCCAGAAATCGGAATAAGATGAAAAAGATATAGTTGGAAAGCTCTTGAAGTATAATTTCTAACTCAATTAGAATCAGATTAAAATATTTTGTATAACAAAAGATATAGCCGAAATAGTGAGACGGTGTCAGTTTTAGATAGAGTTTGACATTTTATTCATATCTTTTCCGTTATAGCTCGGAATTGATATTATAATATATCATTGGAAAGATAATTTCAAGGGATATACAACCATATAAAATTCAGATAAAAAATATGAGGCTCGAAATTCATATCTTTCTATCTTTGAATGTCTTTTAATTCGGATAGAATTAGGACTTTAAAAAAACGAAGTTTTATTCAATTTCAAACTCTTTAATCTTATCTTTCAAAAATGAATAATTAAGATCTTTTAGAAAATTGTAGAAGCTAATAATTAATCCTAATTGGTTTAGGAATTGGATCAAATAATTTGGACCCACCACATGACCATTGGGTCGTAGGTAAGGTGGGCTTAGGTTCAGTTTGGGCTAGTTTAATATTTTGGCCATAACTTATTCGTTATAACTGGAGTTGGGCTTATAATATATCGTTGGAAATCTCTTTTAAAGCTAAATCCAATTATTAAATCATTTGACCCAGATTATGGACCAAAATAAATGGATTTAAACGTTTTTATAAAAAGGTCACGAAATGAATGATTTTAAAGGACATGAAATGAATTATTTTGGGTTTAAAGGCACGAAAAGAGGAAAATAAGTTATGGTTTGGGGAAATGGGCTAGGAATTGGGTTGTTTATGAAATTTAAATATGGATTTAAGCACTCCAAGATTAAATACTCAACCCGGCCAATAATGGCGGTGAAAGGTTGTTCATCATCGGGTTTGGTTTTGGGGAGACATTTTTAGGTGTCTACAGAACCCATAAACTTAGAAAATGACTTATTTTATGTCATTTCAAGTCATAATCACTTATAACTATGTAATTGTAAAATTAATTGAGAAAGAATGAGTTCATAAGTTAAGAAATGAAAAAAATAGGCATGTTAGTAGCCATTTTGGCTTAAAATGGCTTAATTTTGTTGAAATAAAACCATAAAATTAGAAAATAACTTCTTTTATGTCATTTCAAGTTATAATCACTTATAATTATGTAATTATGAAATGATTTGAGAAAGAATGAGTTCATAATTTAAGAAATGAAGAAAATAGGCATGTTAGAAGCCATTTTGGCTTTAAATGACTTTATTTTGATGAAATGACCCCAAAAACGTAGAAAATGACTTCTTTTTATGCCATTTCAAGTTATAATCACTTATAACTATGTAATTATGAAATGATTTGAGAAATAATGTGTTTATAAGTTAAGAAATTAAGAAAATAGGCATATTAGTAGCCATTTTGGCTTAAAATGGCTTTATTTTGTTGAAATAAACCCATAAACTTAGAAAACGACTTCTTTTATGTCATTTTTAGTTATAATCACTTATAACTATGTAATTATGAAATTATTTGAGAAATAATGTGTTCATAAGTTAAGAAATGAAGAAAATAGGCTTGTTAGAAGCCATTTTGGCTTTAAATGGCTTTATTTTGATGAAATGAACCCATAAACTTATAAAATGACTTCTTTTATGTCATTTCAAGTCATAATCACTTATAACAATGTAATTATGAAAATATTTGAGAAATAATGTGTTCGTAAGTTAAGAAATGAAGAAAATAGGCATGTTAGTAGCCATTTGCTTTAAATGGCTTTATTTTTATGATTTGACCCCATAAACTTACAAATTAGCTTCTTTTATGTCATTTCAATTCATAGCACTTATAATTATTTAATTATGAAATGGTTTGTGAAAGAATGATTTCATAAGTGAAGAAATGAATAAAATTGGTATGTTAAAAGCCATTTTGGCTTGAAATAGCTTTATTTTGATGAAATGAACCCAAAAACCTAGAACTTGACTTCTTTTATGTCATTTCAAGTCATAATCACTTATATGTTTATTTTCTTTACTTGTACTATAGACACCCATTTGTGTCTCCCCAAAACCAAACCCAGTGATGGGTACCTTTCACGTCAAATCATAATCGAATGAGGTGAAAGTGTGGAAAGTCTAGTGTTGCGGATAGTTTTTATTTTCTTTCTCTCTGATTTTGAAAACCTATTTTAAGAAAACTGCCAATCCAGTTTAGTTTGGTCCATGGCAAGGGTCCAATAATGGTGTAGTTGGGTCGGGTTCGAAAAG